TAAGTGTTATATAAGTACTTAAACCCTTTGTGAAATAAACCCTTTGTGAAATAAAGCTTGTCCAAGCTTCAGCAACAGCTCAACACAAATTCATCTAGCATAGCGTAGCATGCAGTCAATTTTGTTAGCATTGTCTTTACTCATCAGTAAACACATGTTGTTTGTTCTGTCCCTAGTCATGCCAGACTTGCAAACCATTTTTGTCCATTTCCATTGGATGGCTTGAGTTTCATCCAGCTGCAGCTCAGCAGTCAGGGCAGCAACAACCCGGGATTTCTTGAACATGCTATAGCAAATAGCAGTGACAGGGACGTCACAGTCTAAGTGGGGGAGGACGTAACCCAGAGTTAACTAGAGCTGTTTTTGTGTGCATTGGGAGTGCAATGTTCTGTTAGCACTTCAGCTGCAGTTTGAGACAGTAAGCTTCTTCTTCCAACCCTTGTGGAAATGGCAGGCCTTGAGTATATTTGGACAACAGAGCGAGAGACTGCAGAGGTACCTGGTGATCAATGAGGACGTCCTGAAATTAACTGACCATTCTGCAGGCAAACACACACACAACATAAATACAACAGCTCTAAGTTTTTTTTTTTTTTTTCTGTCCAGCTACCAGTTTTAATTTTTGAAAGGAGAATCGAGAAACCATTTTTAAGGGACACTTGGACAGTGATTTAATTTTCTTTTTGAGTAAGAGACTCCTGAACTGAACGATTTTTTTTTCTCTCCTTCGTTGTTATTGTGAACAAAGCATACTGGGGATTTCCTTCTGTGTTATTTCAAGGAAAATTTGAAGTCTGGAAGTCTTTTTATTTTGTTTCTTTAAAAGAATCTTATATTTGTATAAGGTTCCTTTTAATATTTTTCTTATGCAGTATGGTAAGAGATACTGAGGTGTGGTTCATTTCTGTAGCAGAACTGTGTAGGTATATAAATTCTGATGGGTAGTAAACGGCTATCAGGACTCTGACTCTATTATTTTGTTTACACATACAGCTATCAAAACCAATAATATCTCTTTAAAAACTGCACATGAGGTACCGCAACAATTGATATCCCTGTGGGATTAATAAAGTATTTTGAATTAAATGATAGCTCTGAAGTCCATGCTATTATCCATGCTTTGTTTTCAATGCATTGTTCCCCAATCAAAAAGACCCGTTCATTCCTTTCTTTAAGCTTAGTCCAGCAAACTGGATCTACTGGTTACACAAACGTATTCAAGTGATATGTTTGTGTAACCAGTATATGTGATATGTAATGACAGGGCAGGAGCACTAAAGACATTTGAAGCAAACAGTAAAGCTGAAATCTACTCCATCACTCTTCTCTTGAAACCCATCCTCTGTTTGCATTTTTGTGACTCGTTTCTTATTTCGAGTTCAGCCTCTTTGAAATTCAGTTTTATTTAACATTTAAAACACTTTGGGAATTTGGTTGCAGATGTTATTTTAATTGTGAATGATAATTAATATTACCTTAGGATTTCTTTTTTATACATATGTAAGTTTGCAATGAAGATTAAGTTTTTCGATGACTTGCCCACGTTTAAGAAGAAAACTTAGCTTAGTCCAGACTCAGGATTCTTCTCTTTGGAAACCCTGCATTGCCTTTTAGTTTTTCACCTGCTTTTCTTTTCAATAATTTTTTTTATCTATTTCAATCAAACCATTGTGTAACTTTGGCTCTCTTTTTCCACATTAGAAACTAGCATTTGTCATCCTAGAAATGTACAGGTGTGTTCATTTTAATGGATGAGAGATAAAAAGAATAAGTGTTATGGATGGTATTTAAATTCGAAGCAGACTCAAAGGAAAATCTGGCTTTGCTTTCAGTGCCAGGGTATTTACTTTCCCTGAGCTGTGAGTGACAATAAAATCTAAATGTAACTTAAAGAGTATCTTATAGCTTTTAGCTGAATTAGATTCAGTCTAAACAGTTCTTCAAGCAGCAACTATGACATAAAACATTAAACTTAAAATATTTCCTATCTTCTGTGTTTAGTTCCCTGACTTCACTAGAGCTATTACTCAGTTTAATGAAATCCATCTGGGGACTACTCACACAACCTGTGTGCCTACCCTTGTGTGCTTACCCTTGCCTTGGAAGTATGAGGTTCTCACATTATGAAACTTTTGCAATTAAAACTATTCAGTTCAATAGTTTTAATGCAGAAATATAAAACATAATGCAATTGCTTAGATACAAAACAGCAAAGTAACTAAAGCGCCTACTCCAACAGCAATACTGTAATAGTAAAGGTAAAATAATAACATTTATTTCCTCCAGTTTTTAATCTGGGAATGACTAAATTATAGACTAAACTACATACAGGTACTTTTTAAAAAAAAACTTGAATTGAATTGTTGAATTCTCCTCCTGATCAAGAACCCTCAAAACTGGTATCAACGACCCCTCGGATGACCCGACATCACTGCCATCGGCCAGATCCAGGATAATCTTTAATCTGCATTCTGACACAAGGTGGACTGGCTGGTCTGCTCAGAACACGCTAAAACTAAAGCTGCTAAAGATGATGTAAATGAAAGTAGACTTCCAGAGAACAGCCTCAATACCAGCTCTTTCTTACAACACTTAAAGCTGCAGTAGAGATCTTTTCTGACGCATTTTTTACCATGTCGCTTAAAGATCTCCCCACAGCCGCTTAGCAATCAGTGAAATAGAAGGTCTGGATTGAAACTAAAATAAATGGTCAGTGAGAAATCAATGAATAACCCCAACTAATCAGAAAAGATGGTCCAGTCAATCATGGTCGTCTGCTTGCCCCCCCCCCCCCTGTGCAGGAATTGCTTCAACAATTAACTTTGGGAATAATAAACTATTTTTGCTTTGAAAATTATTTACATTTTCTTTTGGTCATACTGAGAAACAGAATTAGGCTTTCAAGCAGCTTGTTCTAAAAAGCAATGTTGCAAGAAAAAAAATCTAAACAAATCTCACTTTTTGTATTGTGTAAATACATATGTAAAATCTTTAAATCTGGAAATAAAGTAGTATAAAATGTGATTTTTCAGGGATGGATGCATATATTTCCTTGTATCAGATTTATTTACCTGATATAAAAAGAGAGATTTGTTTAAATTTTTTTTCTTGCAACATTTTGTCAGCTTGTATAATGTTATTTCGTACTATATGCAGAAGAAAGAACAATTACAATGACCCCTCCTGATTGAGGACAGAATGTAGCATCTTATTTCTTCAATTTTTCATATGCACACACATTAACTTTATAATCATCATTGAATAAACCTAACACTCACTGTCCTCTTTATTTATCACATATTAATCCAATGCAGGACTTTTTGCAAAAGCAGTATTAAACCAATATGGCCAATGAATTAATCCATTTAGACAAAGCCAAAATGAAAAAGTATCAAAAACAGTTGGTAATGTTCAAAAAGATGAATGACCAACAAATATCACCTTAATGTCAAATTATGGAAATCATAAACAAACAAGGTGTTTTTTGTATCCAGTTATTAGTCTAAATCAACCCATCTGAAAGTAATTTATGAGGTAACAACACTCAGGAAAATGGAATACTTGACTTTAAAATTACCTCCTCGGGTCTATGCATAACAGGAGCCCTAATAAAAAGCTTTCCTTGCAGCTGCTGGTGGACTCTATAATCTCCATTAAGCACAGTGTGTATTTACAAACATGCTACTTATTTGCTGCACATATTCTAGATCTGATCAAGAGTTTATAACCACTGTATGTTAAGAAAGTCAAGGATCTTAATTTGTCATTATACATGCAGGGTACATATCTCATAGAAATTTGGATGAAGAAACATTAGATGCTTGGAATATTTACTGTTTTCAGCCTCTGTAAATAATTTTTTTCTTTTAAAATTGTACTTATTTCAGGTTTACGAACCATTTTCCTTTTTTTTACCTGAATATATCGTTTTCATTTGACTGATCATTTTCACATGATTGTTTCATTTTTTTCTCTCTTTATGAGGACTAAAAATGATTTCTACCGTTCATTAAACATATTATTTTAACCTTCATATTATTAAGCTTTTTGTGCAAGTTTTTTTTTTTATGTATTTTAATTTAATACTAGTTCAGGCATAGCAGTTTCCCTCCTGGGCCATTTATTATAGTTTTGTTGTAATAAAGGACATAAATGTTTAACAGCTATTTAGTGAAAATGTCAGCGTTCCTGAGCTTTTATATAATGAATCTGACGTTACAAAGTTGGTATTTAAAGCCAGAGGATCATTAAATACAAACCTTTGCTTTCCAATCTGGTTCTGTAAGATTTCTGTAACAGTTACAAATTTATCCTTTGGATTTTTTTTTTTAAGTGCTCTGTAACAATTTTCCCATTTTTGAAGACGGTTACAATACAAGATCATCTCTTAATTTATATTCATAGTGACCCTTTGCTAGCGGTTAAATGAATTATTTCACGTACCCTGTCATCTCCCCCAACAGCTGTAAATGAAAAGACAAAATTGCATGCCTTCTAACACACACAGGCAGTTATGGGATAATTTAGAGCACATCAGAAGCAGCAATAATGTTGAAAAACCTGATACCAATGTTGCATAAGTCACAAATAAGAAATGCTAAAGTCATGGCTAAACACACCATTATGGTTTCTTTGGATAGTATAATCTGAAACAAACATCTTACAAGACAAAAACCGTTCAGCTTTTATATTGTCTCGGATCTGATTTAATTGTTAGGATACAACATGTTTTTCAAAAGTAACTTTGGTTACCGTGCTCCTGAAATGGTGTTTTTTTGTAATTCTTTCTTCCTTTATATCAATATTTTATTTTCAAAATCTGCCAAGTTGGACGACCTAAACACATGGAGTCTAGCTGCACTGAAAGTTGGAGTGTTTTTCCTGCATGCCGTTTCCAATCGAAAGTGTTAGCCTCTCTATAACTCATTTACATGGATCCACATACCACAAACAGGAGCGTGACTGCTTGAAGCAGCCCTCCCCAGATAGACGAAACTTACCTTTCGGATGCATTCAAGACTGCAGATCTGAGGGGTAATGACTTCAACTGGCCCTTCTGCCCGAGCCCAGAGAGGCTGGGACACTAACAACAGCTGGTACAATGTCAAAACGGACCGCCACATGGTTCTACGACTGCCACAAAAATATTTGCAAGACCTATCCTCAGAGAATGGCTGCTCCATCTAAAACCTGGTCGCCAAGGACTCCTTTGATACTTCAGAACTTGGGAGGAGGGACAGTGAAAAGGAGTTGAGGGGAGTGGTGTCCCGAGGCCACAGGTGGAGCTGTCAGAGTTTGCAGTGTGTGCCTTAGCAGTTACTGGAAATTCCTGCCCAAGTTAACAAAACATGAGCCTTACAGATCAAACCACTCCTTCCTACATGCAACATAAGAACTGCTTGGAAGTAAATGTCTTCAGTATAGGTTTCAATCACAGGCCTTTCAGTGTAAAGTATTTTTTATTCAGCACTGATTTCCTAGGCTAGTTTTTATTTATTTATTTTTTTGAGAACCATGTACAGGATAATACATTGTTATTTACAGGTGTCAATTTGTGTAATTGCAAAAAACAACAGTAAACAAAATTAAAAGTTCAATATTCAAATACCAGCTACAGAAACATGGTTTATGGTGAAGGACAGAGATAAATGACAAAGGCTTTGCAACAGCAGTCCAGAGGTAGACGTTGGCAATCACCGGATCTGAAAAATAGAATTGCAGAAATTTTTTTTATGAAAAGCAAGAAAAATGTCTCTTATTAGCTGTGCAGTGAATTGTGTCTGAAGGATAGGGTAAAAATGACTTCCTTTGTTTGTCTACATTCCTGGAACATTATAAAATAAACACATCATTCAAAACTTCAGAGGGAAAATATCCCACAAGTTACTCTTGTTTCTACATGTCCTAATGGACTCAATTGGCAAAACTGAAGATCTAAGGCTTGTATGGTAACGCTGAGCCATTTACACAAAATAAAAAAAATATGTAAAAATAATCAATCACCATCTAGATTTGACAAAACAATAAGGTTTGTTTCCCAAAGAGTGGGAAAAGACAGCAGTGATTAATGTGGAACTTTCTGGAGTTTGGTATGGCACATTAAATGGATACCAAAAAAAGAAAAAAAAATCATGATCATTTCATCATGTATACGAACCCAAAATTTTCAAAGAGCCATATTGAACAAAAACAAACAAAAGACGGATCTGTCAGCAAAAATTTAAAAGGATTAAAAAAAGCCTCCTAAGGGAAGGCTAAAAATGCATAATAAGCATTTATGATTCAATATTTTCCCCACAGCCTATTCTGGTGAAAATGACTCACCATACAACTAATCTGCTGTACGATATTTGGTTCTTTAAGTTTAACTTCCATTACAGTAGTAATTTATTATGACTTCCTGAATTGATAGAATAATAGAAATACAATAAAAGTATATATATTTTTTGGTTTTATTTTGACGATTTGAAAAAAACTGAATATGCATAATAAGACTGCCGTAAATTCAAACCTCCACTTGGAAATAAAATGCTGTCCTCTTCAAACCACAATAGCAATACACTCCATTTTTTTTCACCCCGTATTGGGGAAACAGTGTATTAAAACACAGCCTGCAACATTAGCGTTTTGATAAAGAAAGTAGGCTATGTAAACGAAAGTAAGCCAGTAACATTTAATTACAGCGCCCCATCGGTTTGTTTACAACAGCCCTGTGCCGCGCCGAAACGTGTGTCACTGCTATGAAACAAATTTTTGTTGATAGAAATGTTTAAATTTATTGTTTAAATTCATTTATTATACAAATTTTTACATCAACATAAAAAACATAAAGAATGCTTGCTTTTCTTCCAACACGCTATATTAAAAGAAACAAACAAAAAAAAAATCAATCTTTTTCCATTTTGTTTGCTTTGAATAAGCTCCAGTTAGCTGAGAGGGAGGCGCTAAAGAGCTGCATGTGGCTCCAAAGCCACGGTTTGCATAACTCTGCTATAGAGCAAATAAATACATGTTTAAAAAAAAAAAATAACTAAAACCTTTCAACTGTATTAATTAAACAAACAATGACCATCAATCACAAACCAGAGAGAGCTACTATACTCTGATTGCAGCCTATAATCAAGATTTCCTGCCCAAATCATTTGGGAAGGAAAAAAAATACATCCTTCCTTTTGCTTGGATTTTTTTCTTTATGCACCTGGAGTGGACTTTAATGCACTAAAGAATTAAGGAAATTTTACCAAAAGTTTTAATGCATTGATTAATCTGACATTGACAGAAATCTTTAATTATCATTCAGTTTTTTGTTTTGTTTTTGTTTTGCACATGCTTTGGGATTTAAGATGGAGCTCATTATGCTTCTTTTGATTGACTCTATAATGCAGCTGGCTGACATATTTGTAATATTCGCCACATAAATTAGATATTGCACCTTGCCTTCATCTCTTTAAACTAGGATCCTAAGTCGCCCCGGTTGTTGCACAGCAAATGGTGTATTTATGCTCCCCCCCCAAAAAAAAAGGTAATGATGAAACTTTGGTATTTGCCAGTTCAAGATGCATGGTAAATTAATTATTTGAAAAAAACGTACATTGAATCTACTTGTGCACTTGCGTCCTATGTATGCATGTTGGACCAACAATGTAAATCCGTGAACCTCCTCATCCCTAGTAGCTTAAAACACAACTATTTTATCTAGAAATCACTAATAATTGGTGATATCTAAAGAAGAGGAACATTGATTTGTTAAAATAAATGTTGAACAAATACAATCTTGTATTTGCTTGTGAGCACTATGGCAGACACAGTACTGCTTTTTTCCTGCTATACATATCTGCACATCGTAATTCACACACAAAAAAAAGGTCACTGTGATAAAAGCTCAGAGAGCAGTTCCTCTTAAGATGATTAAACACCCCTTCAACTCTTCCACATTTGCAACAAAAAAACTTCACAGACAGTACTGTCTAATAGAGCGTCAGACAGTATTGCATGGGTGTGATGTTTCTAAAGAAGTCCACCTGGGTCTCATTTCCTCTTGGTATAAATCCAGCTTGGGATTTTTTTAGCCCATCTTGCCGTCTTGTTTTGTTAAACAATTATTAAATTCTAGCCAACGTTGAAAAGGTGTCATTGAATGAAGAGACTTGTAATGGCACGTTATGATTTAGACCTATGAGCAGAAACTCACTGGTGGAAAAGTTAACTTTCTAATGGGCTTCAATGCTTTAGTAAAGTTAAATATTTAAATGTCAAAACATTTTGGTTATTCTATAGTCTAACAAGGGTCAAGCACAGACTAACTCTGTGGCCTTGCTTTCCCAGGGGATCCCACTAGTCCTTAGGGAACTTCTAATGACGGACGTGTGGACTGCAAATCAGCTGCATAGTTGTTAGATGGGGTTTATTATCTGACCTAAAATATATTGCCTAAAGGTTCAGGGATTTTTCTGGATATTTCTAAGTGTTTCCCAGGGGAATATTTGTGAGGTCATAGTTACCCTATGTACAAACCTTCAAATGGTTCATTATGAAGGCCATCATCAGGATGAGGTTAGGTCAAGGTTCGTCACACCCAATCTACCCATGTCATCAAGAACTATGCTATGTGTGCAGGTAGATTTGTAACAGTATGGGGCCAAGCTAAAACTGGTGCTATAAAATTGCAGGCTTGAGAGTTTCTCACTTTCAATCGTGAGAATCTACCCCTCGCAGTTCCTTCTGCTAGAGACATTAGACTTCAAATAGGGCTCTCCTGATCTAAACTGGGCGATTTTATCACCATACAGGCACAATTCAACATTACAGATATGCCATATATATATATATATATATATATATATATATATATATATATATATATATATATATATATATATATATTTTAGGACTGCAAAAACAAATCGATAAAAATCGACTTTTAAAAGCGTTGGCAACGAATTTCATCATCGATTAGTTGTGTCGCGTGATTAATGCGTCATCCCTGCCACTTGACTGAAACGGGGGTAGAAAAAAAAATACGACAGAGCGAGCCAGCGCTGCAGGTGCAGTGTTGGCTCGCTCTGTCGTATTATTTTGTTTCGTTTTTTTGTCTCGTTCGTTTTGTTTATGCTAACAGCAACATGACCAGCATGTCATGCTAACCCCGAAATCCCTCATACTCTGTCAGCGCTCCGCTCCGCTGCGCTCCAGACCGGCTGCACAAAGCAAAGCATACAGCCTCCACTGTGGCTCCCGTCTGCTTCCCTCTGAGTCCCTTGGAGATGGTAGAGAGCATGCGCAAGATGATTCAATTCAAAGCAGCAAAACATACAGAAATGATTCAGGGTTTCCACGGATTATTTAAAATAATTACAATCCATTATTTATTGGGGGATTTTTTCATTAATTTCATAAATTTTTTATGAGATTTTGGTGTAACAATCAACATATACCGAATCGAACCGAACCGAAAACCGTGACCACGAAACCTTGAATCAAACCGAACCGTGGATTTTGTGAACCATTCCACCCCTAATATATATTTATATATATACATATATATGACATCAAAGTTGGATCAGCCTGTGGTGTGTTTTTTCACTTTGTGTGTGTGGCTCCAAATCCAGGCTTCCATTGGTCAATAAATTTGATTTCCATTGATTATTTTAGTCTGAATTTTGTGTCAGCACATTAAACTTTGTACCGAACTAAGTATTTGATGAGAATATTTCATCCATTGGGATCTAGGATGTGCTATTTCAGTGTTCCCTTTTTTGAGCAGTATACACACCCACCCACCCACACAGAGGTATGTCTTCTACCTCAAGTTAGTTTGTATCCACACTATTTTTACCGTTTTTATTCAAGTAAATATTCAATCCAAAGGCCTTCAACCAAATATGTCTTCCTCTAGAGTATGACTACTTCTACTTTCACCTACATTAACCACTGCTTATGTGCTACTCTATTCCCTTTTTGTCATAGCTGTATTCAAAAACAGAGATCCACCCTGCTGCCCTCAGCTCTCCATACATAAAACGTCTCTATGTTGCATTAGATAGGGACATAATGATGGTACATGCTGTTTTTAATAGAAGGCACTTTCTACAAATATACTCTCTATCACAGAGGCTTTCAACAGAGGGTCTGCGACCCCTAGGGTGTCCATGGAGGTACTGCATGGGGGTCGCAAACCTTTTGGTTGATTAGACTTTTTTTTTTATATTCCCCCCTGCAATTATTTAATTGAAATGTGTTTAAATACACATTAACATGAATTCAACACAGTGAAGTAAACAGATAAATGGAGGCAGAAGATGTCTTTCAGTCATCAATGCACACATTCAGAGACACACAGGAGCTCTTTCAAGCTGGGC